CTTCGTGTTCAGGATCCGTCACTTTGAGAGCTTACGACGAACTCAATTCTCAACTAAACGCAAATCCGCTCGGTAGGATTGTGCGCCTTAGCCTAAGCTACCATCTCCAAGTTGAATCAGTCGTTAAGAAGGTCTATAGAGCGAGAACCAAGTAAAAACGTCCAGCAGCCGCAAAAAACTAGAATGGTAGAGGAAGTACAAACATTAAGGCATAGAATGTTGGAGTTGGGGACTCCAAGAGAACCATGAGAGGGAAGGGGTTCTCCAAGAGGTAGGGAAAGATAGTAGGAACCTTCCTAGCAGCAAGAAGAAGGCGCAAGGCCGGGCTCTACCACGAGCTGAAGCAAGCCAGTGATGTCAACCTCTGCCATTTCCATTCCGCCATTCACGCGCCGAACAAAACGAAGCAGCTTCAACGCGAGCGGATTGAGGGGCGTGGCATCGCTCTATCCAGAGATGCTTGTAGGCGGCGAGGCTTGACTCCCTTCAGGCTGGCTCTTAGGATGCTCACTCGTGCCAGCTGCAGGTGTTCCTGGTGGCGGTTGATGTTCATCTTCTGGAGCCCCCTCGTTAACATCCGAGGGTGTTTCGTCCTCGTCAGCTTCAGGCACGCGGTAGGTGAAGTGGGAGCAGCGGGAGCGTCCGAGAGAATGTCGTGACAAGGGGTCCGTCGTGACTTATGTCCGCCATAAACTTGGGCGTTGGGGAACCATCTGTTGCAGAACTCGCAGATAACGCTTGGCAAAGAGCCCATGTGTTACGGATCCGTCTAAGAGTGGAGTAATGGCCTATGAAGCAACTAGCCTGTTTGAAGTTTGTGAACGCATCATATACACCGTCAACGAAGGCTGTGACTGCAACACGGTCATCACCAAAGCGCGAACTCTCCATGGCGGCTTGTATCTCTGCACGACTAGCACTAGAGCGTGGCGCGATGGTTAGGGACTGGCTAACGATGGTCGAGCTGCGCGGCCGTGAAAAGGCACGATACAGACCGCCAACAGCACGGCATTTCCCTTTCCTACAAGGCGTGTCGCCCCCTCTTAGAGCGACCACGACGTGAGCAGGGCCATATGCACTGGAGTTTAGCACGCTTGGTCGTGAGTGTGCGTCGCGAGCACGGTGAGAAGTACGTGCCTCTTGATTCAAAACTTGGGTTTTTGAATCGTGCGTGAGAGTCGAGAGGGATGAGGAAGAGAGGGAAGAGATCCATTTGGTGCTGTGATTCTTTCTCGAGTAGCTATAGGGGGGAAATCACAATCACGTAGGTGAGCCCTAAGTGGTGCGCACCTCTAGAGACTTAATCCAAACCAGGTAATGACAATGTACAGTTACATTTTACATAGACACTCGATTCAATTATAATTAGTATTATACAAAACATACTTATGGGCCTGCACAAAAACAACCCCTAATTGACAACGGAAGTGTTTGTAAACCCTCCTAGTTCTCTAGTGTGGTATGGAAACATACGGGTATTACCCATGAACTCAGTGTGTTTCCTTAAGATTGTTGCATGTACCGAATATGTATATCGTCACTTCACAAGAGGTTTGGGGACCTCAAAGCACCGTGCTGAATTAACATGCAAGGATGGAGCCCAATCTAATACAATAATACAACGGTCTCGTCGTCGGATGCAATACCAAAACGGTTTCACCATGACGTGCAACACATGGGAGTGAACGATGCAGCGTCGCCCTGTCTGAACATGTCTGTCGATAACGCATCACCGCTTGTGCGTTAGCCCTGTGCTTCATACCACTCCCTTTATGCACCTTGTATAAGTTCCATGCAAGAATTGAGCCCAATCCAACACCATAATGCAACAGTTTCACATGTCGCGCAAAACGTGGGCCTGAACGATGCAGCGTTGCCCTGTCTAAACATGGCTGTCAATAACGCATCACCGCTTGTGCGTTAGCCCTGTGCTTCATACCACTACCTTTATGCACCTTGTATAAGGTCCATGTAAGAATTGAGCCCAATCCAACACCATACCGCAACGGTTTCACCATGTCGCGCAAAACGTGGGCCTGAATGATGCAGCGTCGCCCTGTCTAAACATGGTTGTCGACAATGCATCACTGCTTGTGCGTTAGCCCTGTGCTTCATACCACTACCTTTATGCACCTTTTATAAGGTCCATGCAAGAATTGAGCCCAATCCAATACCATACCGCAACGGTTTCACCATGTCGCGCAAAACATGGGTCTGAACGATGGAGCGTCGCCCTGTCTAAACATGGTTGTCGATAATGCATCACTGCTTGTGCGTTAGCCCTATGCTTCATACCACTACCTTTATGCATCTTTTATAAGGTCCATGCAAGATTTGAGCCCAATCCAACACCATACCGCTGTTAGAGACTAAGGACGGAGTCTATGAAGATTAGGTGCTGAAATATCTCAAAATCGTCAACTAAAATTCTGGATAGAAAAGTCGTCGTCACAAAAAATGTCGTCGACGATGAACGCACGGTTAGAATTCTTTGAAACTCGATTATGTTGTGAACTTGACCGTGGCTATCTTTCCCAATTTGATTCGTATCAAAATATGGAGTATAACTCGAGTTATGAACTTCGGCGCACTAGGGGGTAGGCTGCCATAGAAAACGTAACTCAATCACAATGTTCTCACAATTACCACACAAGGAAGTTAGAGTAGCAATAAACCAGGTGGGAGGAGATGAGGAGGACGAGAAGGAAGGTCCCAAGAGAGTCCCCAACCAAGGAAACCCCATGCCACACAATTTCCCTCTCCATAGGCAACCCCACATTCACTTTTGTCACTTTCCCAACCTCCACAATCCACCTCACCCAAGTTGGCCACACTTGCCAACCCAATTTGGTTTCTCCCAACCACTTGGCAGCCTCTACAGTGATGGGGACGAATTTCCCAACCCCCAAAAGTTTATACCCCTTATGGAGTCAACCCCACAACTTCCCATAGTCACCACAACCAAATATCAAAAGCATACGAACTTCAAATGTTCGTAACTTTCTTGTTCGTGCTCCGATTGAAGCGATACTTGGTTCGTCGGAAAGCTCTTGAGCAGAGGAGTCATTTCAGATATCTGCTCAAGCCAAATAACATTCACACACACACTCAGAAAATCTAAAACAACACCAAACACAAATTCTTGCACACGCTCACACCACGCATGCAACACACGAACATATGATGGGAGGCAGACAGACGTGAATGCAAATGATAGCATCACATAACAAAATCCCCCTCTGGCTGCCTACCATCATCCCATATGCCATAGCACAAGCATTCACCCTCAATGCACACTCATTCCAGCAAGTTTCATCCCCTTCCAATGCTCATTTTCAGCCAGGCGCTTGGTGAGAATGTCTGCCGCCTGCTGATGGGTCTTCACAATCTCCAGCCGCACCTCCTTGTCCAGGAGCCTCCTCACCCAGTGCCACTTTGGCCTGATGTGCTTTGTCAGGCCATGAAGACAAGCATTCTTTGCAAGCTTCACAGCCGACTCATTGTCACAAAGAATCACAGTCGGCTCCTTCTGGCACACTCCAATCTCCTCCAACAAACGCCTCAGCCACACCACCTCCTTAGCCCCATGATGCAGGGCCATGTACTCTGTCTCACACGAGGACAGCCCCACCTCGTTCTGCTTCTTGCTGCGCCAGCTCACTGCACCACCTCCAAACAGGCACACATAGCCTCCAATGCTGGTGCCATCCGCCTTTACAGAGTTGAAGCTAGCGTCGGTGTAGCAGGTCAGGATCATCTCCCCCTTGCCCAAATCAGCTGCACCCCTCTGCAGCCTCTGTCGCACAGCACTGTACTCCAAGCCCACTGATGCTGTTGTCAAACTTATATGCTATAGTCTGTGTAGGCTGTAGTGGGGTAGACTATATGGGGTACAACATTTCTAGGTTTTCCTACTTGTACCCACCTGATTGCTAGTTCATTCATTCCTCATTCTTCACATGGTATAGAGCAGGTTCCCTCGTGGGAACGCTTCTCAGGGCCCACCACCTAACTCGATCTTTTTTTTTTTTCCTGCCCGAGGCGTGCCCCGTAGGTCGCCCTCACGTCGCGCCCTCCTAGAGGCCCCTCGCGCCACCCTTAGCGGCCTCGTCGCCGTCCTTAGCGACCCCGTCGCCGCCCCTCTCGGCCCCTCGCGGCCACTTCACGGCCCCGTCGCCGCCGCTCTAGGCCCCGTCGCCGCCCCTCTAGGCCCCTCGCGGCCCCTTCACGGCCCCGTCGCCGCCGCTCTAGGCCCCGTCGCCGCCCCTATAGGCCCCTCGCGGCCCCTTCACGGCCCCGTCGCCGCCGCTCTAGGCCCCGTCGCCGCCCCTATAGGCCCCTCGCGGCCCCTTCACGGCCCCGTCGCCGCCCCTAGCGGCCCCGTCGCCGCCCCTCTAGGCCCCTCGCGGCCCCTTCGCGGCCCCGTCGCCGCCACTTGCGGCCCCGTCGCTGCCCCCTCTAGGCCCCTTACGGCCCCTTCGCGGCCTCGTCGCCGCCCCTCTAGGCCCCTTGCGGCCCCTCTGCGGCCCCGTCGCCGCCCCTAGCGGCCCCGTCGCCGCCCCTGGGGGCCCCGTCGCCGCCCTTCGCGGCCACCTCGCCGCCCTTAGCGGCCCCGTCGCCGCCCCTAGCGGCCCCATCGCCGCCTCTACCGGCCCCGTCGCCGCCTCTACCGGCCCCTTCACCGCTGAGCCGCCCAGCAGCTGAGCAGCCGAACCACCCAGCAGCCGAGCCGCCCAACAGCCGAGCCGCCGAGCCGCCCAGCAGCCGAGCCGCCCAGCCGCCGAGCCGCCCAGCAGCCGAGCCACCCAACTGCCGAGCCGCCGAGCCGCCCAGCAGCCGAGCCGCCGAGCCGCCGAGCCGCCCAGCAACCGAGCCGCCGAGCCGCCCAGCAGCCGAGCCGCCGAGCCGCCCTGCCGTCGAGCCGCTACTGTTCCTACCGGCGCGCCCCGGCCCTACTTCCTCGGACTGGTGAGATCACTCCCTGCTAGGCCACTGCAGTCATGGCTACCACCAGTGTCCTTACCTTTGATGCTGAGGGTCGTGCTGTTGACTTTGAGGTCTGGGTCGATGACCTCCAGCTGTTCCTACAGTGCGATAGGGCAGACGGACTCTCCCTGTTCGATCTCACCTCTGGTGCCTCTCCTGCCCCGCCTGCTACTGCTGACAGCACTGTTCGCTCACAGTGGGCCACACGCGATGCTGCTGCCCGTCTTGCTGTGCGTCGCCACTTACCGACCACTGAGCGTGCGCACTTTAGCCAGTACAAGAGTGCTAAGACCTTGTACGACGCTGTAGTTGCACGCTACTCCTCCCCTGCCACTGCTGCGCTTAGCCGCCTCATGCTGCCGTACCTGTTCCCTGACCTTGCTGCCTTTCCCACAGTCGCTGACCTCATTACGCACCTTCGCACTAGTGACACTCGCTACGGCGCTGCGCTTCCTGCAGAGTTCTGTGCCAAGAACCTCCCCCCCATGTACATCACCCTCTACTACATAGTCACCCGGCTCCCTTACTCCCTTCGCTTAGTCAGGGACCACTTCCTCTCAGTTTGCCCCACCACACTCACCGTTGACCTCCTCGAGGAGCGCCTCCTAGCAGCTGAGAAGAGCATAGTCGCTGTAGGAGCCTCTCGTGGTGACCCTCGCACCCCGTCTTTGAGGGGTGTTCCCCCTCCCCCCTCTTGCCCTCTGTTGCTTCTGCTGCTGCGGCCGACCTCGTTGGTTTCGAGTCGGTCGGCGCTGCGTCTGCCCCTAGCGGGAGACGCCGCGCCGGCAAGGGCAAGGGGGGCAAGGGCGCTGGAGGGGCTGGCGGGGGCGGTGGAGGTGGTGGTGGAGGCAGTGGAGGGGGTGGGGGTGGTGGTGGGAGTGGTGGCGGGGGTGGAGGTGTCGGTGGCAGCAGTGGAGGCGGAGGAGGCGGCGGCGGTGGCGGGGGGAGCAGAGGCGGCGGAGGTGGCGGAGGCGGCGGAGGTGGCGGAGGAGGCGGAGGCAGCGGTGGAGCTGGTCGCGGCTCTGCGCAGAGGAGTGGCTCCGGTGGTGGTCCGCGCCAGCAGCAGCAGCGCAGTCGTGAGACCCCGTCCCCCCAGCAGCTTCGTGAGTGGTACGCTGGGCGTCAGCGAGGTGGGGGTACTGGTCCCTGCACCTACGTCCTCCGTACCGGCGACCGCGCTGGTGAGCAGTGCGGGGGCCCGCACTCCACCCAGCGCTGCTTCGGCCGCCTGACGGACGCGTGGCGTCACCAGTTCCCTGACACCACTGAGATCCCTCGCTGGGGAGAGCTGTCTAGGGCGGGGGTTGCTATCTTTGATCTTGATTATGATGCTATTCTTGCTGCCATGTATGCTGTGTCTACTAGTGATGAGGGTGACTGTTACCTGTGTGTTCCGCCTGACCCGGGCATTGAGGCTGCTGCTCTCGGTGCTGGTGAGGCTGCTGCTCTAGGTGCTAGTGCGTCTGCTGCCCCAGGTGCTGGTGAGTCTGCTCTCTCAGGTACCACGTCGGCTCAGGCCTTACACACCTTCACCCTTGACTCGGGTGCTTCCCGCTCCTTCTTTCGAGACCGCACCACACTTACGCCGCTTAGTCGGCCGGTTGCGGTCTCCCTGGCGGACCCCTCTGGGGGTCCTGTCCTTGCTAGCTTCTCCACTGTCTTACCGTGCCCGGCAGCCCCCTCTGGCACCCTGTCAGGACTCTACCTCCCCTCGTTCTCTACGAACTTGGTGAGTGGAGCTGATCTACAGGATAGGGGGGTTGACCAGTTCACTCCTGCGAGTCAGCGGGTGACCCACTGCACGTGTGCTCGGACGGGCCGACACTTGGCCACGTTTACCCGTCGGCCGGGTCGAGCCTGTACACACTGACTACCGAGTCTCCTCCGGTTGCTGAGTCTGGTCAGGTAGCTGCGTCGAGTCAGGTGTTTGCTGCAGCGTCCAGGTCTGGTCCTGAGTCTGCGCCCTGCTCGTGTCGTCTCCTGTCCCACCAGACTCTCCTCTGGCACCACCGCCTTGGTCACCCCTCCCTGCCTCGTCTCCGAGGCATGGCCTCCCGTGTCCTTGTCTCTGGTCTCCCCCGGTCCCTACCTCCCCTACCTCCGGGGCCTGCCCCTACCTGCGTCCCCTGCGTCGAGGGGCGACAGTGCGTCGCCCCTCACTCCTCCGAGTTTCCTCCGACAGAGGCTCCGCTGCAGACTCTTCACATGGACGTGTGGGGCCCCGCCCGCGTCCGTGGCCAGGGTCACGAGCGTTACTTCCTGTTGGTGGTTGACGACTACTCGCGTTACACCACGGTGTTCCCCTTGCGCAGCAAGGGTGACGTCACTGAGGTGTTGATCGACTGGATCCGCGCAGCTCGTCTCCAGCTCAGAGAGAGTTTCGGCTCGGACTTTCCTGTTCTGCGTCTGCACTCTGACAGAGGCGGGGAGTTTTCCTCTGCCCGTCTGGGAGCCTTCTGTCGTGCACAGGGCATCCGCCAGACCTTCACGCTTCCGGCCTCTCCGCAGCAAAATGGGATTGCTGAGCGCCGCATTGGCATGGTCATGGACGTCGCTCGTACGTCCATGATCCATGCGGCTGCCCCCCATTTTCTGTGGCCGTTTGCGGTTCAGTACGCAGCGCATCAGCTCAACCTTCAGCCCCGGGTCTCCTTGCCAGAGACCTCCCCCACCTTGCGGTGGACGTTGAAGGTTGGCGATGCGTCTGCGTTTCGGGTCTGGGGATCTCGGGCGTTTGTCCGCGACTTGTCTGCGGACAAGCTGTCCCCCCGTGCTGTTCCCTGTGTCTTCCTTGGCTTCCCCCCTGACGCGCCTGGGTGGCAGTTTTACCACCCCACCTCGCGCCGTGTTCTGTCCTCCCAGGACGTCACCTTTGACGAGTCGGTGCCTTACTACCATCTCTTCCCCTACCGCACTGCGCCCCTCCCCCCGCCGCTGCTCTTCCTTGCGCCAGGTCCTCCCCCGGTAGACCCCCTCTCCCCTCAGGGTCCTGCCCCGTCAAGTGTGTCCCAGGTAGACGCAGTCGAGCCTGTCGAGGTAGCTGTTGACTCTGGTGCTGCTAGAGGTGCTGAGCCTGCGGGTGCCGGGTCTGGAGGTGCTGAGCCTGGGAGTGCGGAGCTTGGGGGTGCTGAGTCCAGGGGTGCGGAGCCTGGGGGTGCGGAGCCTGGGGGTGCTGAGTCTGGGGGTGCTGAGCCTGGGGGTGCTGAGTCTGGGGGTGCTGAGCCAGGGGGTGCTGAGCCTGGGGGTGCGGAGCCTGGGGGTGCTGGGTCTGCTCGTGTGGCCTCTCGCGGTGCTTCGTCGAGGCGGGAGCTACTCTCTCCGCAGGAGCTGCGCGAGTGGTTTGCCCGGCGCTGGAGCCGTGCTGCTGGAGCTGGAGGTACTACTGTTGCTGCTGGTCCCGGAGGTGCTCGTACTGGAGGTACTGGAGCTGCTGGGACTGGGGGTGCTGCTGGGGCTACTGGAGTTGGTCCTGCTGGAGGTACTGCTGGAGCTGCCGGCGGTACTGGAGCTGCTGATCCTGCTGGTGTTGGCGCTGGTGGTTCTGCTGGCGCTGGTGCGTCTGAGGGTGCTGGAGTTGGCGCTGTTGGAGCTGGAGGTGCTGCTGGCGCTGGTGCTGCCGCTGGGGGTACTGGTGCTGTCCCTGCTGGTTCTGGAGGCGCTGCGCGGCCGAGGCCGTACTTCGTTCCGCTCCTTGAGCAGGTTCTTGGTCTCCCACCCTCTACTGGTCCTGCTCCTCCCTTAGAGTGTCCACAGCCTGTCCAGTCGCGGTCACAGTTACAGCCCGCCTCCCCCCTACCTGCTCCTTCTCCCTACACTGGTCCTACTGGAGGTCTTGCTGAGCGTCGTGAGCCTGCGTCTCGTCCTGCGTCGCCTGTTCGTGCTGCTCGCACTAGTGGTCGTGCTCCGCGTCCGCGTCCTCCTGCGGTCCCAGGCACACACCAGATGGCACTGCGAACTTCCACTGCTCCTCTGCGTGTCCCGTTGCCGTCTCCTCCAGAGTCCTCTCTTCCTACTCTTGCTGACCCGGAGTCTGACTCTCTTCGTGCTGCCAGTCCTACTGTCACACGTCTCCTGGCTACTGTTGTCACTGGCCCTTCTTTTGAGTCCACTGCTGCGTCTGCCTTAGTTGCTGAGCTTGTCGACTTCGCTGCTCGCTGTCGTCTAGACTACGCTGCTAGTGTTGTTGCTGAGTCTGAGTCTGTCTGTCCTCCGTCCGTCGGGGGTGAGTGTGCTCTTAGCACGGACGTCCTTGAGGACAGGCAGGAGGAGTTCCAGTGTTTTGGTGCTGCTTTGCCTCATCTCGTGTCCACGCTGATTGCCCCTGAGGGAGACCCGGATGCACCAGACATCCCGACTCCTCGATCGTACGCTGAGGCGATCGAGGATCCCTACTCCTCTCAGTGGCAGTCAGCCATGGACGCAGAGATGACTTCCTGGAAGTCCACAGGCACCTACGTCGACGAGGTTCCCCCACCTGGGGCGAACATCGTCAGTGGCATGTGGATTTTCAAGGTGAAGCGGCCGCCGGGTTCTCCGCCTGTCTTCAAGGCGCGTTACGTGGCTTGAGGCTTCAGTCAGCGGCAGGGAGTTGACTACTTTCAGACCTTCTCTCCCACCCCGAAGATGACCACTCTTCGGGTGCTGCTGCACATAGCCGCTCAGCGTGACTACGAGCTTCACTCTTTTGACTTCAGCACAGCTTTCCTGCAGGGCAGCCTGCACGAGGAGATCTGGCTGCGCCGCCCACCTGGCTTCACTGGGTCGTTTCCTCCTGGTACCCAGTGGAGCCTCCGGCGGCCAGTCTACGGTCTCCGCCAGGCGCCTCGTGAGTGGCACGACACACTGAGGACTACACTTGCGGCTCTTGGGTTTGCTCCTTCTACAGCCGACCCGTAGCTGTTTCTGCGCACCGACACCTCTTTACCGCCGTTCTACATCCTCGTGTACGTCGACGACTTGGTCTTTGCCACTTGTGTAGTACGTCGGGCATGGGGCTAGTGCTTGGAGGGCGACGTCGAGTGGTTCTCACAGGTCACGCAGACGCTTCTTGGGCTGACGACCAGGCTACGCAGCGGTCGTCACAGGGTTACACCTTCAGTCTTGGCTCCGGCTCTGTTTCGTGGCGGTCTACCCGCTCGTCTTCTGTTCTCGGCTCCAGCTGTGAGGCTGAGATCTACGCGGGGGCCATGGCTGCACAGGAGCTACGCTGGCTCACCTACCTGCTGACTGACCTAGGAGAGCCGCCTCGTTCTCCTCCAGTTCTGTACGTAGAGAACAAGGCCATGCTGGCCTTGTGTCGGGAGCACAGACTGGAGCACAGAACGAAGCACATTGCTCTTCGCTACTTCCTTGCTCGTGAGCTGCAGCAGCGTGGTCAGCTGCGCCTTGCTTACGTGGCCTCTGAGGCCAACACTGCTGATATCTTTACCAAGGCACTTCCGCCTGGTGATAATCAGCGCTTCTGTACGATGCTAGGTCTTGTGCCTACTTGGCCTCACTTGCTCACTTCTTGACCTTGCTTGTACTGTGATCTTTCTATACCTGCACTTGCCTGTTTACCTTTATATATGATCTTGCATGTGAACTGGCCTTTTGGCCTTGCTCTTGTGCTCAGATTGTGTGGTGACGTTGTGATCCACCCTGAGCTTGCTTTGCTTTGCTTGACTGGTCTTGTGACCTCTTGTTCTCCCCCACTTTGCCTATGGGGTTGTGTCAAACTTATATGCTATAGTCTGTGTAGGCTGTAGTGGGGTAGACTATATGGGGTACAACATTTCTAGGTTTTCCTACTTGTACCCACCTGATTGCTAGTTCATTCATTCCTCATTCTTCACAGCTGTAGCGCTCACATAGCGGACCAACCTCTTGGCCGCTTCCAGCTGCTCATGACTGGGGCGTGAAACCACACTTGCAAGCCTGGATGTAGCAAAGGCAATGTCAGGCCGCGTGTGGTTAGCCGCATAATTGAGTGCCCCCACCATGGAATGAAACAGCTTTCTGTCACTCTCACCCACCACCTCCTCATCAGCACAGGGCTCCACAGTGAACCCCAAAGGCAGTGGGGTGGCTGGCTTTCCTCCATCTTGCAGCCCATACTTCTCAGCCAGCCCCTCACAATACTTTCTCTAGTGCAACTTCAACACTCCCTTGTCAAGGTCCCTCTCCACATGCATCCCAAGGTAATACTTGACATCTCCCATTTTCGAGCACTTGAACTGCATCTCTAGCATCTCCTCCACATGCTCAATCATTGCAGATGACTCAGAGAGGAGAAGGATGTCATCCACATACACCAGGAGCATGATGAACTGCTCCTTCTTTTGCAGCAGGAACAAACTGTGATAACACTCGCTCTTCTTGAAACCCCCAGCCAGCAGTGTTTCCTCCAGCTTGTGGTACCATGCGCGAGGAGCTTGCTTCAGGCCATAGATGGCCTTCTTGAGCCTGCACACCCTGCCGCTCCCATCATCCAACCCCTCAGGCTGCAGCATGTACAGCTCCTCTAGGATGATCCCATTGAGGAAAGCAGTTGTGATGTCCATCTGCTTGATCCTCCATCCACGGTTTGCAGCCGTTCCCAACATCACCCTTAGTGTAGTCCCTTTCCCCACAGGAGCAAAGATCTCATCAAAGTCCTTCCCTTTGTCTGCTGGAACCCCTTAGCCACAAGCCTTGACTTGTAGCGGGTCAGCTCCCCATCAGGTCCGTACTTGTGCATGAAGATCAGCTTGGAAGAAATGGCCTTCTTCCCAGGAGGCAGCTCACATAGCTCCCATGTCTCATTCTCCAGCAGAGAGTCATACTCCTCCTTCACACTCTGTTTCCACTTCTCAGCATCGGGCCCACTCAAGGCCTCAGCTAGCGTCTTGGGCTCAGGGACGGCTGCCTAGTAGCAGTGTGCTATCTCTTCCTCATCACACTGCTCAGCCACACTCCCAGCCCGTACCACCTTTGGCTTGCCAAAGCTCGGATAGGTCAGCCGGTTAGGAGGGCGCACATCCCTCCTAGGACAGTCAGCCAGACGTGCGGCACCTTGTGGAGCATCTTGCTGCTGCTGCTGCTGCTGCTGCTGCTCCTCCATCTCAGGTTCTCCCCCATCCTCAGTCACCCCAGAAATCTCCTCCTCTGAGACAGTGACCTGCACTTGCCTCGAAGGCCGCTGCACCTCATCGGCCTCAATGATCAGCGGTGTAGTAGGAAGCTTCTGCTGCTGCTGCTTCCACTCCTTGTAGTACAAGGACTCAAGGAACTTCACATCCCTTGACACAGTCAGCTGCTAGCTGGTCAAGTCCCATATCAACCAGCCCTTATGATCCTTAGCAAGCCCCAAGTGTACTCCCCATCTCCCACTAGCCTCCAACTTTCCCCTCTTCTCCTTAGGCACATGAAACACCACCATGCAGCCGTAGGCTCTCAGCATGTTGACTGCTGGTGCACTCCCATACCACTTGGTGTAGGGGACCCACTGCTTGTCCCCCACGGTCGCCAACACCCTGTTCTTCACAAGGGCGACCTGCCGCAGTGCAGTCACCCAAAACGGATCCGGCAGCCCTGCACGCCCAAGGAGAGTGCGAGCACCTTCCTGCAGGGTCCGGTTGAACCGCTCAGCCACGCCGTTCTGCTGAGGGTTGTAGGGCACTGTGAGCTGATGCTGGATCCCCTTCTTCTTCAGCACCGACTCAAAATCAGCACCAATGAACTCTCCCCCATTGTCGGTGCGGATCACCTTCACCTTGTGTCCGCTCTCCCTTTGAGCTCTCGGCATCCACTCCTTGAGAACAGCCGCTGCCACCTCCCCCTTAGTCTTGAGAGGGTACACCCACACCGCACGCGTGTGGTCGTCCACAATGGTCAAGAAGTAGCGGCTGCTCGAGAGAGAAGGGGCCCTCGTGGGGCCCACCACGTCCATGTGCACAAGTGCAAGTGGAGCCTTGGCTGGTCCCGTGCTGCTGCTGAAGGGAAACTTCGTGAACTTGGTCTCAAGGCATGTAGGGCAGCTCCCAATCTCCTTTGCTGCCCCCTTCACCTCCAACCCCTTCAAGCTCCCATCCTTCACTAACTTCTGCAGCATAGGAATGTTGATGTGACACAACCTCTCGTGCCACGTCTCCCAATCGGCATCACCATTCCCAGATGAAGCCTTTGCCCATGCAGCGGTTGCATCCACACCAGCAAGCACCTCACCATGTGGCTGCTGTGACTGCTGCACCTTCTTGACTGCATCTAGGGCCCCTTCGATTGGTGCAGTCTCCTCTCCTCCCGCAGTTGTTTTAGCCGTTGCAGCTGCCGCTGCCGTTGCTGGTGGTTTCCCATTCCAAGGGATGATGGGAAGCTGCCACAGATCCTTGATGCAGCTGTTCTTCTCCTCCAGATCCCACAACAACAGCTTCCCAAGCTTTGCACGGCAGCTGGTTGGGCCGAAGGTCACTTCAGCCTTGCTCTTCTGCAGCCAGCGCACAGAAAGAAGGTTAGCGGACAAGCCTTCAACCAACAGCACATTCCCAAGCCCCACAAGCCCCCCATTGGCCCCCATTACCTTGGCATTCCCAACACCAATCACAGGGAGCAAAGCACCTGAAGCGGCAGCCACAAACTTAATCTTTCCGGGGGGCTTTACCTCGTCAAGCAAATCTGCCCGTGGGGTCATGTGACTTGTGCAACCTGAATCTATCACCCAGTGAGTGAGGGGGTGCATCACAACCTTCCCAACTGAGCCCACATCACTCTCACTCCCTTTCACATCCTCAACCATGAGGAACATCCCAGGAACATTCTGCAGGGGAGCCTCCGTCGGAGGGAACTTGGAGGACTGAGGAGCGGCGCGCTGCCGCCCCTCGACGCAAGGAACGCATGTAGGGGCAGGCCTCGGGGGAAGGGGAGGGAGAGACCAGGGAAGACCAGTGACAAGGACACGGGAGGCCATGCCTCGGAGACGAGGCAGGGAGGGGTGACCAAGGCGGTGGTGCCAGAGGAGAGTCTGGTGAGACAAGAGGTGACACGAGCAGGGGGCAGACTCAGGACCAGACCGGGACGCTGCAGCAAACACCTGATCCGACGCGGCTACCTGACCAGACTCAGCAACCGGAGGAGACACGGTAGTAAGGGTGTACAGGCTCAACCCCGGCTGACGGGTGAACGTGGCCAGGTGCCGGCCCGTCCGTGTGCACGTACAGTGGGTCACCCGCTGACCTTTAGGAGTGAACTGGTCAACCCACACGTCCTGAAGGTCAGCTCCACTCACCAGGTTCGTGGAGAACGAGGGGAGGTGGAGGCCAGACAGAGAGCCAGACGGGACCACCGGACACGGAAGAAGAGTGGAGGAGTGTGCAAGGACCGGACCCCCAAAGGGGTCAGCCAGGGAGACTACCACGGGCCGACTGAGCGGCGAGAGTGTGGTGCAGTCGCGAAAGAAGGAGCGGGAAGCACCTGAGTCAAGGGTGAAAGTGTGCAAGGCCTAAGTCGATGCGGTACCTGAGAGAGCAGACTCACCAGCACCTGGAGCAGAAGACTCACTAGCACCTAGAGCAGCAGACTCACTAGCACCTAGAGCAACAGCCTCAATGCCCAAGTCGGGCGGAACACACAGGTAACAGTCACCCTCAGCAGTAACAGTCACAGCATACATAGCAGCAAGGATAGCATCATAATCAAGATCAAAGATAGCAACCCCCGACCTAAGCAGATCACCCTAGCGAGGGAGCTCAGTGGCGTCAGGAAACTGCGTACGCCAGGCGTCAGTCAGGTGGCCGAAACAGCGGTGGGTGGCGTGCGGGCCAGCGTACCACTCACGAAGCTGCTGGGGCGACAAGGCCTCACGAGAACGCTGCTGTTGCTGGCGGCCACCGCTACAGCCTCCCCGCTGCACAGCGCCACCCTGACCAGCACCACCGCCGCCT